CTAGACTTTGTAACTGTGCCCCTCAGGTTTTTTTCTAACTGATCCCCTTGTACCAATTTGCCAAGGCAGGATGGAGGAAATTAATCGAACACTATGAGGAACATTACCATCATCTCCCCAAAACCTGGGACCAAAACCAATGAAACAGTGACGGAGAGGCTGGGCTTGGATCCAGATTCTGATGGTGAAGACCTAGGTGGCATCAGCATAATTTGATCCCACAGCAAAGTGGAGGGGAAGGGAGGCCCAAACACTCCCAACTTCCATCAGAAAAGCACCTGAGAGTGTGACCCACTTTGAACAGGTCCTCTCCTCCCACTGGCTTCAACCTTGCCAGAACTGTCCCCTCACTGTCCCCCGACTGAGTGCACAGACTCCTCTCCCCTGGCCACCAAACACCACAGCAAGTCTGCACAGTGCCCATCCTGAAAGCCCAAAGTATGAACACAAGTATCGAAGCAGAAAAATGAGCTCACAGAATGTACAAATGACTTAGTAAGTGGAGATGACAGAAAAAGGAAGAGCAAAACCTGCTGAAAAAAAAAAAAAAAAACACTGAAAAATGGCTGGGTTTTGTTTTCAACCCTTTCTGGGAATGGACCAAGCTTTGGTTTAAGATTTTTCAATGCCAGTCTCCATGAGCTCTGCTGCCCAGTGTTTCCTGCCCTAGTCTGCTCAGCCACAGTCAAACACAGTGCATCAGTCAATCCACCGGTGTGCTCCTTCCCACCACCACATAGATCAGCTCCTCTCCATCACAGTAAATCCAGAGGGCTGCTCACATACTGGTGGCAGTAAAAGGAAAAGGCAGCTGCATGGGCTTCATATGTCTTGAAGTGCAAGGCTGCAAAACATCCTTTGAGACGTAGGGTTGGATTCTTGGTCAGCAGGTTCCATAGTTTGGTCACCTTTTGGAGGTCCAGAACTCTTGCTGATAGGACATAACTGATTTTCAGAGACATCTCTCAACCTCACAACTTGCTATACCAGGAATAAAGAGCCTTAAAACACTGAATGCAGTTGGTTTTACCCTGGAAGACATAAACCAGCTTATGATAGAATTCAGGATGTCACACACACCAGCCTGGTGGGACATCTTACTCTTTTACCAGCCATTAATTAAAAGACTGGAAAGGCAGAAAAACTCTCCCCCCTCCACACAATGTCACAGGCTCCTGATCATCAGCAACACCTCATCCATAGAACAGTTTCTCCACAGCTCCTCTTTCCAAAGTGTTTCACAGAGGACACACTTCTGCGGTGAGCACTCTGCTACAGTCTGCTCCTGCCACTCAGCATCCCTGTTTGGACCCCACATAGCCATGAAGGGATCCTTGATGTCAGGGAATGCTGCTCTGATGCCAGTGGGACACACAAAGTCTCTCCATCTGCTGGTCATGGTGACTTAAAAGAAGAACCATGCTGCTCTCAAAGACCAGAGCTTGGCTTTGCCCATGTGGGTTTTCCTGCCCATTCACCTCCCCAGAGGGTGACGTGAATAGTGAGAAATTCACACTGTAACTCTGGTTCTATCCAAGACACAACAAGCACACTGCCCAGCCAAGGTCCATGTGATAGCCCTTGGGTGTGGCCATCTTTCAAATCTAGCGGCACAGCCCCATTTTGTGTGACTACCCCCTTCCAATACCCGGACTCTCACTGATGTTGCCCCATGAAGGTTTTTTTCCTCCCTGACACACAGCAGTGCTGCCCTGTTGCAAACAAAAGAGAAGGCACTCATGTTTCAGGACTTGCTACATGCTCAGCAGGAAACCATGACATTTCCCACCAGTTTTTCTCCAACTGGAGTATCAGCTCGATTGATATTTATGACATACCAGTCATAGCAACATATGTTACTTGTTTTTTGACATGAATAACTAACTGTAGATGCTGCTATCACAGACAAGAACATCAAGCCGAAGCTCATGGTAATTCTCCTGTTAAGTCTGGACAGCAAAGCCAAAGGCATCCCAGCAGTACACCAAGGTGCTCCACTCCACTTGCCCAGCTGTAGTTCCATGGGATTGGCCTCCCTGGAGCATCCTAAGTGATGCCCCAGCCTCTTTTGTCTCATCCTGCAAGAGACAGCACTGCAAACAGCAGTGCATGTGTCTGCTGTTATGTGGGGTCCAGCATAGGTGACTCTCCCTAAACACACACTTAGGTTTGTGGGATAAGGACTTAAAACCACCAACAGTAAAAGGAGCTGCTTGTCTTGCAACAGGAGTGTGACGAATAAATCTCTGTAGACCTACCCAATTCTCTCCAGTAGCAAGAGTTGTGTAATCAAGACATGACTTAAAACCCATATGATACACAGAAGTCACTGGCATTCAGACTTGAGCAGAAGGCACAAGATTTGGGGTTTGCTTTTAATCGGAAGTGATGCCTGTCCAGTCTTTTCCTTACAGGTACACCACGCATCAGGAAACAGCCAAAGAGGACATGGCTTTGTCTGCTGACCAGAAGTAAAGCCACTGGGATCAATGCAGCTATGCCAGGGCGAAGCTGCTGCAAGCCTGAATCAAGCCCTTTTCCATCTGAACATGCTTATCCCTGACAGAGAATACTCCTTTTCCTTTTACTGTTGGATTGGTAAAAACAGAAAGGGAGGGGGGAATGCTAGACAATCCACTTAGTTTAAGAGAATTTAAAAAACACAAACAATTATGCCTTAAAAGAGAAAATGAAAAGAAATAAAATCTGCGTTTCCTGGCAATTATTTCTAGGCCAGAAGCACATGGTCATCAGGCAGTTAAACTGGCCATAAAGCTATTTTGCTTCTGAATGTCCCTGCTATGGGACTCCACCAGACAGGGGCTTTGGGACACAACACAGGCAGTGGCTTAAACATAGGCTGCAGTTTCATAGAACCCAAGGAGCCCCCAGACAAGGCACATGCACCAATCCTGTCCCAACCAGGCATACTTCCCTACTCCCAGCCCAGCACTTCCAAAATGGGATCACTCTCTGTGTTCCCTATTCCTGCACAATGACACTCCCATGTAAGAGGGGAGGGAGCCAGTTAAGCATAGATACATAGTCCTTTTCAAATGCTTAATACTTCTAGCTTCACTGTAATTATATCCTGCAGATAAAAATGGTGCTGAAGGTCAAACAAATCCTCCAGGAAAATGTACTCTGCATGGAAACTATTGGGTTTTTAAAACTGGAAAGGTTGTATAAATACTGCAGATTGAGAACCTATAATTATCCATTAAAATCACTCTGAGTCTACTGAATTCATATTTGTCCATCTTCAAACCCTACTCTCCTATTTATAATGTTTATGTGTGCCCAAATATCAACTCAGGCAAGAGGTGAGTGATCAGAAACACATTTTTCCTGGACTGTTTCTATGGCGTTAGAGAGTGATGCTCTGTGGAGGACCAGCTCCAGGGCTGGGCTACCACCATCCTGCAGCTGATGCCTCTCTTACCTGCCTCTGGAAGCAGGGTTTACTCCTCCATGCCCTTTGCAGACAGATCCCTGCATTGCTCCCCAACATGGCAGGGTTGCAGCATCTCGGCCATGGGAACCTCCCTGCCTGGAAAGGTTTTCACACCCTACCAGGCTCAGCACTTCCATCTGTGATGGCTTCACTGGCTGTTCTCCAAGCCTAATCCCACAGTTTTGGTGCAGTCTCTGAATTTACCTGGGAATATATAGGCAGCCCTTGCAGCGGCACACAAGGATTCAGAAAAAGAGGACTGGTGGCTTTTCCTCTGGAAACATTCCTTCAGGAGCAATGAGCAATGTGACTGCCAACTGCTGTGGCCAATACACTTGCCCAGAAAGAATGGGAAGCTACCCACAAAGAGCCCCCAGCCTTGCACTGCTCATCCCCCTGGAGCAGCCCCAGGCAGGGAGCTGACACTCCCTGCCCTGGTAGGCAAGCAGAAAGAAAGGTCCAACACCATCCTTTTCCCTCCTGTTGTTCTCCAGAGATTGTTCACCCAGGAAAGGAGCAGATGCTCTCTTAAGACAGTGCTGGCATGGTGGTGTCACCAAGGGTGTGAACACAAAGGGTCAAACTGCCACTGGGCTCGCCCTGGTGGGCTGAAGCTTGGTCTCCCACCAAATATGCCTGTTTAGGGAGAGGAGCCTGCATCTGGACTGGCTCCTCTACGGGCAAAACCCTGAATCCTCACCCTCCTCATTTATTGCAGCTCCAGTTCTGTAGCCTGGACTGTGACTCAGTGATTCTCCCCAGGGCCAGCAAAGCCATCATGGGGCTCAGGACAGAGCCAAAGCAGCACACAGCACCCCAGAACTGGGGTTCGGGCAAAGCATCAAAAGCCTAATCCATCTCCCTGCTCTCTGTTGGGCACCTCCAGACCTGAGGTGGGTGACAACTGTCTGTCTGTCCATTACTTGCAGCTGTGGCTGAACAAGAGCCACAAGAATTGGAGTTTGCTGGTGTCAGCACCCCCTTGGACACGGTTCCACAGAACCAGGTCTCAGGATATCTGTTTGGCCAAGGCTCACAAGAGCCATCAGCCAGGAGCTATATGTATCTTGCCTGGATTTGACCTACTCACCAGCCTCCACCACAACTATTTAGAGGAAGGGGAAGGGGATAAAAGAAACTAAAACATTAACAAAATTGTCTCAGCAGTGAGAAAATCCATCAAGTAGACAGCAGCAATTGAGAAGTTAGGTACTTTGAGAGCTTGGTAATTCTATAAATGATGGAGTGTTTCCAGAGCAAGCAGTTCCAGTGCTGCCCATGCCAGCCTCCTTCCCCCCACTACCTATGCTGAAGCCCAAGGTCAGAGGAAACCCATGAGCCCTCCTGCCAGCCCCTCTGCATCCACTGGCTGCACCTCACACCCCCTAAACATGCTGACAGTGAGAAAACCTAACAGCACGGACCTGATTCTTCCTCTACTCCACTAACCTCCATCTCCGAACATCCTCCTGGGTACAGGTTCATCACGGTTAATATATATTTGCAGGGGGAAAAACAAGGGATTCCCGGGGAAAGGCGGTTTACATTCACACTGAGGTGTGGAGCCAGATTTTCCTCTCAGATACATGGATGTACAGCCAGAGCTGCTCCAAGGAAGTTCACACGAGACTTACAGGTGCTACACTTGCTCCTCTGGCTTACCACCAGCCACAGCCTGTGGATGCAGAGCAGACCTCCTTGGGGTGAGGATGGAGGGAGGCTGTGAGGGTTGTGTCACTGTTATTGATGCAAACAGTGTTCTCCCTGCTGATGTACTGTTTTCCTGGGGAGACAGAGGTGTTGGACCCTCACTGGGGCTTTCCTGATCTTTGGAATAATTTGGATCTTGGTAGAGCTTTTTGAGGTGATCCCCTCATTGCCCTGTTTAGGCTTATTCCTCCCTAGCAGAACACCCCTGCCATGGAGGAAAACAGGCTTTATATAGAAAAAAAAACACTTATGTTTTCCAGCAGGATTTATGTCACCCAAAAGCACATTATTATTGTCACTAATAATCATTGATGTTTATGTGCCAACACCTTGACCACCAGTAAAAAACAAACTATCAGAAGCAAAATCTGTGCAAGTGCATCTCTAGTCTAAGCCAACCTAGCCATGAAGCCTAAGCTCAGTACCAAAAGCCACTGGGGTGCAGCAGAAACACTTCCCAGCATCCCAAACATGACCTGGCATGAATGCAAAGCTTCTCTGATTTAAAGGCCTAATTTATACTCAGCTCCTGAGTTACTAAAATTCCATAGCCCTTTCAGCATGGGTCAAAGCACCCCACTTTACACAGTGGTCTCTGAGGGTGGTGTTCAGCTTTTTGCATGGGAAATGTCTGTTCCCGGTGGATCCAGGTCCCTCAATAGAACAGCGAGAGGCAGGCAGTCCAGGGAGGGATGGAGCTCACTGGGAAATCGGTGCCAAAAGAAGGTGGGGTGGAGCTTAGTGCTTTTATAGAGATTATTTGGAAAAAGAAACCAGGCAAAATGGCTCTTCCCCAGGGAACTCCGGACTTCTGCTTCTCTCCCAGCACACTGAGGACAGCTGTGCGACTTGTGGGCCTGAGGCTGGTGCTGATTTCCTGCTGCGCCTTGGAAAGGTGGGTTTTTGCCAGAAAGGGATGGCACCAGTCAGCCGCTACCTCCTGCAAGACATCAGCAGCAGGACTAGCACTGCAGACTACACAGAACCAGGGCATCCCCAGGTAACACCTTCCAGGGCAGTTCCCATCTCTGCTGAAAGCACGAGCTCTACTTCAACCCCGACTCTTGCTTACCTCCAGTTACAGGGACCTCCTTTCCTGTCCCCAGTAGCAGAAGAAGAAATCTCTCCCAGCTGCAAACAGGTCTGGACCAAATGACTTCAATCCCACCATGGCCACTCGCTCTCCACCCCCCCCCTTCCCCCGGGAATCCCTTGTTTTTCCCCCTGCAAACCGAGGGCCGTGATGTGAAGGAAGCCAGAAAAACTCCTTTAACACAGACAAAAGGTTTCAAACTCACTTCCACCCCACCTCCACAGCCAGAGGGTGATGCTGGCCTGACCCCTCTGCTGCAGTCACCACTCCATCCCCTCCCAGGTTATTCCTCACACTGAGACAATTTTAGCCAGATGTTTTCCAAATCCTGTGGGAAATCAAGTGTCAGCTCAGCTTGAGCAAGTGGAGTGGACCAGGCAGAGCTCGGAGGCTGAGAAGGCATTCCCAGGGGCTCTGCTCCCTTCCTGGTGGGAGAAGGCAAGGCACAGAGATGGCAGGAGCTAGAGGCCGGGAGCCCTGCCTCCCACCACAGCGTAGCACCTCTGGCTGAGCCCTGAGAAACCCAGCAGGGGTGGTGGGAGTCGCACTGTCTTTGGGAGGGCCTGGGGCAGACCAAGCTACAGCCTCGCTGTCTGCGGGAAGGCATCTCCCATATCTTCCAGGCTCATGGACAGGACAGCCCCATGAAGGCAGGGGACACCTGCTCTGAGCTTGGCTTTCGGAAAGGCACACACCAAAGTGTGCATGTGTGTATATATATATTTTATATATATATATATATTTGCATTTATATATATAAAATGGAGTAAGGCTGCTGGACTGCTCCGGGCTGGGCAGGGAGGGGAAGGGGAGAGCTGCAGAAATTGCTACCTGCAGCCACACGTCTCCACGACCATGTCCTCGTACTGTTTGTAAACCACATTGTTCCCAGAGTCTATGTAGAGGATGCTGATGGGGCTGAGCTTGGAGGGCACGCAGCAGCTGGGTGGGGTGGACTCCGGATCCATGGAGTTCATCAGGGTCTGGATGATGGCATGGTTGGTGGGCTCCAGGTGGGAGCGCAGAGGGAAGTCGCAGACCCCCTCGCAGTGATACGCCTCGTAATCCAGGGGGGCAATTATCCAGTCGTCCCAGCCCAGTTCCTTGAAGTTCACATGCAGGGGCTTCCTGCTGCAGCGGGTCTTTGCCTTCTTCCCGTGGCCTCTGCCCCCAGTCCGGGCAGCGATGGTGGTCCGTCTCTTCCTCCGCTTCGGGAACGCCTCCTGGCCGGGATCGGGGGGCTCCAAGAAGAGCGGGCTGCCCAGGGCCTTAATCTTATCCCGGATCTCCTTGAAGAGGTTCTCCTTCCTCTGGGTGTGGGAGAAGGCCACGAGCAGGGCTCTCTCGTGAGGCTGTGGCCGGGGCTTGCTGAACCCCAGCTGCCGGGGGGGCAGGAGCCGCCCCGACCGATCCGAGACGATCCTCAGCAGGAAGCACAGCAGCTTGCCCGAGAGAGACCTCCTCTCCCTCCAATCCCGCAGGGCTTCCCAGGCATCAAACACCTCCCATCTGGAGAAGCCCGGGTCCACAACGTCTGCAGCCCTGGAGTCCAGCAGCCGGGGCTCCTCACCGTCTTGGCTCGGGCAGGTGGAGAGGAGGAGGTGATGGAACGTGCCTTCGGGAGACAGGGCCAAGCTCCGGTTTACGGGGAGGGCGCGCAGGATCCGCAGCTCCGCACCCGTCACCTCCTCTGTGTCGGGCAAGCTGGAGATGTCGAAGAGGTATCGCTGCTCGAGGGTTGCTGGGAAGGCATCTGCATGAGATAAACCAAAAATAAAACAAAAAAAAAAGAGGAAAAAGCTATAAAAATCCAGCGAGCTGAAGCCAAGCTTTCTTTACAGAGGCACGAGGGACACGGAGCTCAGGGGGGAGATCACTGCCTTGCATCAAGGCTCACGGAGCATCCCAGCAGGGACACAACCTGCATCCAGGAACATTACCCTGGATGAAGGAACAAAAAAAAACCAAAACAAAACAAAAAAAAAAAAATGGAAAGAAAAAACGAGAAGAAAAAGGTAGAGAGAGAGGGAGGAATCAATTCAAATAAGTGGCTGAGGAGACTTCTCTCTGTCCTCCCGGGTGTTCCAGTGCCCCTAGCTGCATCACTCTCCTGTTTTGATACTGAAGCCCCAAGCAGAACATGCACGGCACAGCTGCACCCCCAAACAGCAGGTTATCACCGATTTCTCTGCCCTTAGTGTCACACACCCCTTCCAGCCCCAGCCATGCCAAGTGAAGTGCTGTGAACATCTTTCCTTCGCAGGCACACGTCGGGGACGTAGACGTTGTGCCCCAGCATGTCTGGCAGAGGCGCTCCCAGAAGCTGAACGTGAGCTCAGTTTTAATCCGTCACTGTTTCTGGTGGATCCGAAGCCCAGACGCAGACTTGTGCAGTTTCTGGTACTGATTAAATATGCTCAATGTGAATTAAAAAAAAAAAAAAAAATAAAAGAGGTGGAGTTGGGGGAAGAGATGAATGAGTTCTGGAAGGGTTGTTTTTTATTTTCTTCCTCTCTAACTAGAAATCTGATCTGCAAACATCGCTGCTGTGCTGTGCCCGAGTCCCCGACCCGCTGCCGGCAGAGCCCTGAGCTGCAGTCTGCACCGCGCTTCGGGTGGGAAAGCGTTTCCTCCCCATCATTTGCTGTTATTATGATCATCATCACTACTACCTTTATTATATTAACATTTTTATTACTATTTCGGAAGCAGATGTAAAATTCCCGTGAGAAGCAGATCAGGAGAACCCTCTGAAGAAGTTCATCTGGTTTCATTTTGCCCTGAAACTTCCCAGGAGCTGCGTGCAGTTTGCCCCCGGCTCTCCCAAGGCGGGCACTGTCCTCCCGCCCATCGCAGCATTTCTCCCCCGTCCCGCCTTGCTTCGCCGCCGTTTCATCACCAGCTTTAAGGCAAACCCTCCCGCCCAAGGCTGCAGGCAGGATACGGCCCTGCTGGGTTTGGGGATGGGGCTTGTGGGGCTGCGGGCAGCTCCGCACCAACAGCCGCCGCTCTCCCACGCCGGGGCAGCCGGTGACAGGCACGGGGGGAGGCTGAAGCTGCTTTTCCGTTCGTCTTTTTATTTTATTCGATCGGGATTTTATTTTTCCCCAGCCGAGCCACCTTCTCAATGTATATATATATATTACATATATATAAAATATATCCTTACGTCCGTAAATGTGTTTATTTGATTATTATGACCAGATCCGAGGGTATGAAGGAGACACAAGAGGTGGGAGAGGGAAAAGAGGATGGCGATGCCGAGTTCACGGCGTGTCAGCGGGAGCCGCTCCGGAGGGCAGCGGCACCCAGGGCTGAGCCGCTCCCTTCGCGGTGCCCCATGGAGCTTTTCGGGCTTCTGTCGCCCAAGTGGTGGAGGTCCCGGGAACTGCCCGCACCCTCAGCCTCGAGCATCATTCTCTACCCCGACTGCATGTGCACCCCCATCACCATCCCCAGGCTCATGCACAGCCCCCTAGTTTTTATCTCCACCAGGAACTCTTTCACAGCTCCAGACACTGTCCCCATCGTGACCCCAATCCCACGCTATACACAGCCCAATCCCCATCCCTGTACTCGTCCCGATTTCCATGCTCGAACTCAACAGCTCCATTCCCGTCTAACAAGTGATGCACAGCCCCTACCCCGTTAAGCTCCAGCTCATCCCCGTCCTATGCCACCACCCCGTGCTCAAACTAACTCACAAGCTCCCAGCCAAGGCATAAACCCCATCCACATGCACACCCGTGCACAACCCACCCCAGGCACGACCCGGTCCTCAGATCAACGTGTAAAATCTGTCTCCGTGTGCAATCACGTCCTCAGATAGGTACTCAAAGTAACACACAACCCGGTCTGCATAACCAAGCCCATGCAGAAGCCACATCCCCACACCCGTGCACAAGCCACAGCTCCATCCCCAAGTCAACGCACAATTTTCTTTCCATCCTAAATCCGCTCCCAAGACCGATCCTCATCCTCAAGCCCATCTCCAAGCCCCATCCTCATTCCTAAATCCATTACTAAACCCCATCATAATTAGACCAACCATGGTCCTTCCTCACGCCCGACGGCGGGGTCCCGGCGGCCAGCCCCGTCCCAGCTGCTCCGCCGAGCTCCGCGCTGCCCGGAGGGACGGGCGTCCCGCACTCACCGCTGCGTGTCCGCTCCGCGAAGCCCGTCACCGTGTCGGCGCGGCGGCCGGGGACGCGGCGGGAGGCCAGACGCTGGTAGAGGGCCACCATGTAGTGGTGCGGCACCACGGTGCCGTTGCGAAGAGCCCTGTCCCTCCGCGGCAGGGAGGAGAAGGGGGAGGCGGCGGTGGAGGAGGAGGAGGAGGAGGCGGAGGAAGGCGCGGCTGCCGGGGGTCGCTGGGGAGCTGCCGCCGACGGTCCGCGCACAGCGGCGGCCTCTAGCCCGCGGCGGAGGCGGCAGGCTCCCAGCAGGCAGAGGCAGAGGGCGGCGGCGACGCGGAGGCGCATGGCGACGGCCCGGTGCCGGTGCCGGTGCTCGGCGCTGTGCTGCTGCCGCCGCCGCTCCCCGCCTGCTTTTGAACATCGTCTTCGCCCGCCGCCGCCGCCGCTGCCACCGCCGCCGCCCGCCGCCGCGGAAGCGCCCCCTGCCGGCCACGCGCCACGCCCCGGCGAAGCTCCGCCTGCGCCCCGGCCCCCGCCCCGCCTCCGCCGGCAGGTGAGACCCCCCCCAGGCCCCTCTTGCGGAGGCACCCGCCCCCCTCCGTACGCGGCCCCTATGGACGACGGCCCCCGCCCGGGCTTGAGGGGAGGCACCACCACCTCTATTTGCGGGGAAGAATGTTCCTGAAAGGGGAACCCCCACCCCGCATTGGAGGGGGAAACTTCGCCCCGCATGGGGGGGTTGTCACCCGCCACCCCATCCTTGGGCGCGGGAGCCCGGTCCCGTAGTGCAGACGGGGCAGTCCCGCCTCCGCTTCGGAACCCCACATTTTGACGGGACACCCTGCCCCGCATTGGAGCGGAACACCCCACCGCCAATTCCTCCCGGGGTCCGCAGAGGATGGTGCGGTGCAGCGAGGCGGGAGCGGCCGGGGGAGCGCTCAGCGACCGGCTGCGGGGCGGCCCCGGGTTCCCTGGATGCGCGCTGCTCCGCGCCTCCGCCAGCACCGTTAATTCCGCCTCGGGAGACTGACATCGCAGCAAAACAAAGCCCCGGCAGGGGGGGGGCTGATGTTTTCTCGTGCACGGAGGGTTTCCTTGGTAAAATTCAGATGTTTCCTTGGGTCTCGATTGAAATAACAACATGGAGTATTTACTAGGATGTTATTTCAAGCCTCTTTAAGTCCCTGGTTATGTCTGTTGCGATTTCTCTGCAAATACAAAAACAAGTGCTGTGATGATTTATATGAAGGAATGTAGGTGTTTTGCCAAAACAAACACTTTTTTTTTCCCTCTCCCCCCAAACAATCGCTTCTCAAGAGCGTTTGTCACTGAAGCCTCTCGGACTTCTCTCTGCTGTAATTCTACAGGTGCTTTGTCACAGTGCGGTGAGCAGGTCTCTAATGCCAGCCAGTGGATCTGCTCCGCCCGAAAACAGTGCCGAGCAGTGGGGGCAGCTTCCGTGGCAACGTCCCGAGAAGTCCCTGTCCCACACTCTGTGGGATGGTCTGGACCGAAGTCATTTGCACGCCTCACTCAGCACCTTGTGAAGTGTTCACACGGGGCTTGCAGTCTTTGAACGATACTGCGTGGCTTGCACAGGGCCTTGCATGGGTCCGCTGGCAGTTGCACCCAGCAGGCCAGTGACCACTAGAAGCCCTGACCCAGCTTCTGGGGCAGGAGGCAGAAGAAGGGCCCATAGAGGAATGCTTCATTAACTGTTTTTTTCTTCTGTCAGCCCCTTACTAAATCCAGCCCAATGCTGTTCAGACACTAAAGGTCACTTTAAGAAAGCATCGGTGAGCCATGGCTGCCTCACTACCCCATGGGCAGGCTGGTGAGACCCCGGGTGGGTGCCCTCACAGCACCAGAGCAGGCAGCTGAGTGCTCAGGGAGCCCTTCCCGCACATGGAGAAGGTTGGAAAACGCTGTCCTGCCCTGTACCTCTCAATCCCACCTCCAACACCCACGCCAGACACACCGGTAGTGACCCTGAGACAGGGAGTAGCAGTGCTCCCTCCCCAGTGCTGCTCAGGGAAGGGACCAAAAGGTGAGCAGAAAACAGTGAGATCAGAAGGGCTGCCAAGCTTTAGAAAATGGGCAGATGAGTCTATCCATAAAACTCTGTGCTTGCAATGGTTTCTGGAGCATCCTGCCTGGAATCCTTTCATGCAGGCAGTTTCATGGGAAACAGTGAAAGGTATAAAAATGGTGAGTCTGGGCTGTGCCCTGAGCCACCCAAAGCTGTATATCCTCGTGTGTGCTGGGTGTATAGACCTGCCACATGTGAGGGATGCCAGGCTTCACCAAACTCCCAGGGAGTGGAAGTGTCTCTGCTTTTTTTCTGTACATCTTTTAAAAATTAAAAATTACATTGATGCAACAGAGCCAGGCTGTGCCCTGGTTTTTCTTCCACTGCCTCAGACCAGTCCTCCTCTCAGACCCCAGTGTGGGCAGCAGGGGCAAATGCCCGCTTGGTGCAAGCTGTCAGAGCCAAGCAATAGGTTCCTCCTCATCCCTGTGCACAGCTGTCCTCATGGCAGAGCCCTGTTGCTTTTGGGTGATGAGAGCCAGATCCCTGTCCTCACCGTCTGCGTGCAGACCAAAACAGCACGCACATAACCCACACAACTCAAAGCAACACATGCATACATGTCTGCATGCACCAGGCACACATGCCCACACCAGCTGGCACTGACACAGACTCAAGAAGCAAATCCTGCATGGCTGTGCCGGAAGGAAGACACGAAATCCCACAGCCCATCCTCTGAACCGTGCAGAGTCTATCGAGGTGCACGAGCACTGAGTTTCCCATTGTTCTCCATTGCAGCTTCTTCTAAACCCTTTTGGGCTTTCTTGAATTTCCACCAGCCCAGCCCAGCCCAGCTGCAGGACCTTCCCACACCGCCCCAGCCCTGTGCAGTGCACAGCAGCTCCTGCCCCCAGCCCTTCCCTGCTCCAAGGATGGTCTCCCTGAAAACCTTTCTTGTGCATAATTTCACACTGGCAAAGTGCCACCTTTCACCAGCCCCCTTCCAAAACCAAATTAGCACACTGCTGCAGCAGCAGAAATTGGAGAGGAAGGACTGCAGTTTTATTTTACAGCTCAATTAGCAAGTTTATACAGAAAACATATAACCAAGGGAGATTTTATGTCCGTTCGGTTTCACCAGGAAATAGACTTGTTCCTCTTTGAGGGCACTTCCTACTTCTGTGGGTACCGCTATATTCTCCTGCCCACAGTGGCCTTCAACCAGTGTGGTGACAGTGCCTCCAGCCCTGCTCACTCACTCGATCTCTCTTTGCTTTTACACTTAGAAATCCTGTGGTTACCTCCAGCATGGACTCAAAAACACAGTTCTGAAACTGTCCCATTACCCTGTTCACTAAGTATTAAAGGAACCACAAGTCTGCCAGAACCTAAGATGAAAATGAAGGGCCACATTTGCCTTCAATTTTTCACTAAGAACCTGTCCCCAATAACAGGAAGCCAATGGCTCTATGCTCAGGACCTTAACAGCTCACACAATGTCCCACCATGGTCTATCCCTTCCTTCACTAGTGGTCCCTTTTGAGTGGATTTTTGGAAAGAAGAGGGCAGTCAGCTCACCAAGCCTGTTTTTTTTTTTACTGGGAACATTTTCAGGATGCTGATTCTTTTGGGATCATGAAGAAACTTTTCCTGCCTGGCTGACTCTTGGTTTGTCCCCTCTGTCACAGTCTCTCTCCCTCTGCTCCCTCTCTCAGTCCCCAGGAGATTTCATTTCTATGCATGGGGTTGAGTTCTGGGCAGGTGGACTCTCTTACCATGGCTGAATCCTCTTTTGCAACTGTGGGCAAGGTCCCAGCCTGACACTCCTGCCTGCCAGAGAAGGGCTGCCTTACAGATACTCTTCAGCAAAGGAAAGAAGGAGGTATTTAACCAGACCCCCATCAGCTGTGGAAGACCACTTCTCAAAGGAGGAAACTGAGACAGAATGGAATTCCTCAAGCAATAACCTTGTATCTGATGTCATAGCTATGTTCCCACAACCCTGTACCTCCACAGATGTTCATCTTTCCTGTCATCAGCACTTTTTGATGGAATAAAAATAAACTGCAGTGACAACCCCCCTCCATACTTCAAAACTGGAGGTGTTCATGGCTGTTTCCATTAGTTAAGTCAAGTGAGTCTTGAGCAAGTTCAGAGTGGTCAGAATATTGATGCTAGTGGTTATTTGGAAGAGCATATTTTCATACAGTGACCACACAAGAAGCCTCTTGTGGCTTCACTTAACAAATGTCTTCTAGCGAGATGGCTACAAGTGACGGCAAGGCCAGCTCAGCAAGTAACCAAGCAACAGCATCATTTTCTTTCCAAATCTGCCAGCAACTCCTTCCAAAACTTACTTAAATTGAAGCCAACCTGAATTCATCCTGATTGTCTGCACAAGGATAGCCAGGGAAGATAAGACAAATCAAGGTATGAAGTCAACACAGGAAACATCAGATGAATTCACAGACCCCACTGGGCTGTTTTCCTTCTAGTCCAGAGACCTTATGTCACCACAATCTGGATGCCTAAAGCTGTGCTGGTCTCACCTCACTTTCTGTTTAAACACTGTACTCTAGCTAGGGGACAGGAGACTTATGGAAATGTTTTACTGAGAGCTCAATCCTTCTGGAAACATAAAAGCTTCTTGGATTAGACTTTCCATTCCCCTAGGGGAAAATCATCCTAATACAGCATCTGGTCAAGAGGGTCTGTCATAAGCCACCTGAAGATAGCAAGTCAAAACGCAGTTGAGTGCTCAGTTGATTTACAAAGATTTAAAAGCCCATTTGCCTTTTAAAAAGTGCAGAGTTAGCAGGTAATTTGACAATGCACAGGTGCAGAATGTGTCTTTATAGTGGTAGTTTAGGTTAGCACCTGGTCATAAGGGGTGAGATTCACCTTGCTTTTGGATATAAGAAGGAAACTCTTTCCTGTTAGGGTGGTGAGGCATTGGAATAGGTTGCCCAGGGAGGTTGTGAATGCTCCATCCCCGGCAGTGTTCAAGACCAGGTTGGATGAGGCCTTGGGTGATATGGTTTAGCGTAAGGTGTCCCTGCCCACGGCAGGGGGGTTGGAACTAGATGATCTTAAGGTCCTTTCCAACCCTAACGATTCTATGATTCTATGATTCTTTCTCAGTGTAACTGATCACCTTCCTGCCATTAATAGCTAATGGAGGAAGAGCCATACCTCCAGGAAGTAATTCCTACAGCATGAACCAAAGAGCCCAGCTGAGAGAGCTGTTACAGAGGATTTGGTCTGCCTGTACAGAAAGACATCATCTGCCTCCTTGTCCCTGGCTGTCCATGTGAGATGTCACCAGGGAAGTGCTCTTCTACAGCTCTCCTCAAGCTCTGCTCCACACTTACTTATTTTTTACGTATTTTACCCTTTAATCTTCACTCAGCTGCTTTTTCTCTCATCTGTTTCCCAGATTATTGTGTTTCCCCCCAAACTTCTTACCCTCTAGCTCCCATCCCTTTGCAAAGGCCCCTCAGGTTTGGGGTGTTCAGCCAGTCCTGAAGAGGAGACCTGGATGGGACTGCTAGCAGGAACCCAAAGGGAGCATCAGAAAAGGAGCATTGCATACAATACTTCACCCTGATCCTTCCAGTTCCTGCCTATTCCCAGGAAACCCTTCTTTGACCTCTCCCCATTCCTCCCCAGCCAGCACCACTCAAGGCTCCCATGCCACTCTCACTTCTCTGCCACCTGAGACAAGAGAATTACTCTATACCAAAATCAAGCCCTTTGCTTTCTGTCCCAGTGCAAAGTTTGACCAAGAACTCCAGTTTTGGCTCACTCCTAACTTCCTGGATGCAGATGCTATGAACTGCTATGAACATGAAAAGAAGGTGTTTTTTTTCTCCCCCTTTAGGTTATCTTCCCATCCTTTGCTATTGTTTTTTCCTTGTCAGACAGCTACTTTTGCTCTCTCATCTACTTCAATGCTCTTAATCCCATGCTTTATTTTCCACTGCAAACCAGCCAAATGGATCTAAACTCTGAAGTCTTTAATGTCAGCCCAATAGTTCTTCAAGGTGACAGAGGACTGGCAAAGAACTTTGCCCAAGAACTGATTTTCCTCCCTTTGGGGAACATCACCTTCAGCAGGAATCAACAGGTGGATGCATCCCACCCAAGTACAGCTAACAATGCTAGGTACCTAGTTGGAGGTCTCAACTTAGGTTTCCTTGACTCTAGGACCACCAACAAGCTATGGGGGCCAGATGAGGCATGCAGAGAGGGCCAGAGCAGGCCTGCCAACCCCTCAGCTCCAGTCCCAGCCTCCTCCCTTCACTCCTCTGTTCCTGCTGCTGTCTGGGCTATGAGGAGGAGGTGGTGTGGAGGAAGGTGGGTGGCTGGGTGGGGAAAAGGATGTGGTCCAAAGTCCTGTTTGACTGCAAGTTTGCATGGTCTGGATCACTCCTTTCAAAACTATGTCTCCCTGACCTTCTTGCCAGGGCAGCATGTACTTCCGCAATGAACATGGGTGATTTGGGACAGGCACCTGGCAGTTAGGAGGGATGCTTCTCATTTGAAATGCCTCTCAGAAACCAGCATAGACCACTGGGCAAACTAAGAAGCTCATAAGTACCTTTTACCACCACTGTATGTCCTGGCTGCTCGTCCTGTTCAATTTCTTTGCCTTTTCCAGTTTGCCTTTTCCAGCTTTAGTTTTTGTGTTTTTTTGGGGGGATGTGTTTTTGTTTGTTTTTTTTTTTTTCTGTAGACATTTCATGCCCTGGGCCTCTTTCTCCTTCAGCTGTTGAGTAGCATGAGAAGCTCAGAGGAGAAGAAATCCTTCCACAGGGCCATCCTGACCCACCTCAGCAGAGGGGCTGGGTGGCTGCAGCAGGACTGAGCACCAGCAGCAAGCGGAGTATCAGGGGTACCCGGGCTTTCTGTGAGGGATCACTCCCAGGGCAGGAGCACCATCTCCTGGTGAAGGGATTTACAGCAGCAAGCCTCCTTGTGAGGTGTTTCCCGGTACACAGATGAAACGTGAAGGCATTTGCAGTTTGGAAGAAACTCACTCTGGTTTCTCTCCCCTTAGGCTGTGAAACACGTGGAAAAGCAACCGAGTACAAGCGGGTACTGTATATAAGAAAGGGAGCTGGAAAACTGGCTGTGAACAGGAACACATTATGCGGATACATCCCTCAAATCCTGCAGTCCTTGCATTTATTTAGTGCTCGCACTAAAGTTTAAGACATCTCTCTGGTCAGTGAGAGCTGCATGGACGAAGCCACTTACACACATTGGGATGTCAAATGCCCTATTAGCAAGGACCTTGAATTCCTAATACATTACAGTGGCATGTGTTCACAACTGTCTGGCCACAGCCCTTCACACAGACTGCGAGTTGGTGTGGGTTGTGCTGACATCAGTATTTAGGCAATATAAGTTTCTGCCTTTTATATCTGATACAGGCCAACATGCTTGCTTTGCCTTGCCCACTTGCCTGCTCCTGTCCACCCAAACACTCACATGCAGGTTTGTGCACCTGAGACCATCTCAGATGCCTAAATGTGAGTATCTGGTGCCACCTGAGAAAGCCACACCTCAGAGAAGAATGGGGCTTTCCTACACTGTCTACCTCCTCTACCAGCACCATGTGGATTTCTTGGGTGCCCTGCAGCCTGCAGAGAGACACCAGGTGCCTATTTTAGCACCTGCACAAAGCACATTTCCTTATGAGAAGATCATCAGATTTTAGCAGGAAAAAAATATGTAATATAGGACTTACCAATACTGATAAAATTTTTGAAGACCTTACCACTGTGTGGGTCACTTCAGCAGTTTACGGGGAGCTCTGCTTTTTTCTGCGGTTCACACTGATCCCACCAGCTTAGTAAGTCAAAATAGGCTATTTTGGGGTCCTCACTCCATGGCCAGAAGAAAAGCACAGCTGAAAATTATTTGATATGATGGACTTCTGTATGAAACAAAATGAGTGTCTGGCTGGCAGGCAGCTGCTGGTTTGCACTTGGAACAGGGAGGTGTTAAGTTCCGTCTCTATTCTTTCTGCAGGGCTTCACCCTGCAGCACAGATCAAGTCTGAACTGACAGTTTTAATAAGAGCCAAAGGCACAAGGACAATTAAAAGTTTTCCTGGACCTTGATTTAGTGATGTGGAAAGTGCAAGTGAACCCAGCCCTGAATCTTCTCGGTAGTATTTTCCTCTTTACAGTGAAGGATTGCAGATACAGCATTTACAAGACAGGCTGTTAATGTAAAAACTCGACCTGTGAGGTCTCTAGGTAGATGTAATTGTGGAGCAGAGCTAACCACTTAGGCTACATATATGCAGGTAAATTAAATGTTTGTAACACCACCCTTTGGCACCAAGATCAAGTGCTGTGAATCAGCCCATTCCACATGGCTAAATTCCTGTAGCCTCCAAGGCCAATGGCCATGTACAAGCTGTCATTTGAGAATGGTCCCTTGCCTGTGTTAACAACCAAACTGTCCCCAGGAACCTTTCAACAGAGCCCTAGGCTGAAGACATACCAGGGATATCACTACTGACAATGTGACAACGATGACACCGCTCCCTGGCATTATTTAGATTACTTGTATGAATGCAGTGCTGGAGACTCTGGAGACCAGGGCAGGGTAGCTGATGGCTTGCATGTAGGAAACCTAGCTCATTGTAAAGATTATCCATAGTCTTGCTTTTATACCTTCAAAAAGCTTATTCCAGCAAGGTTTGGGAGAACCTTAGCTATGCAAAAAACAGCAGCAGAAGAAAGGAAGTCCAGACTTTTGGTACTTGGTGAGGAGCTGAGAAGTTGGCAGCAAGAGCAATGAAGAGCACTGTCTTGGAGATGGACCTGTGCCATCACTGGCTGGAACCTTGGGACAGCCACTCTCTCTCACATTTTAGTTTTTCCCTCTCTGTAGTAATGGATCCCTGCTCTTGCAAGCACTTTGGGCAGAGGGTTAAAGAAATACTATAGGTACTACAGGTGTACTTCCAACTTTGCACAGGGTCAGCATGGACATTCCTGATGGCTTCTCAGGAAGGAAGAGCACCTTCCATGAAAACAGTTCATTCCATGATTCCTGGATCTCTCTTTCTCCTTCCTTACTCAGCACACTACCTCCCTGACCAACTTGCCTGACTCTGTAATGCTTGGGTAGCATTTACCATTCTGGTTTTGTAATTGTAGCTTTGAACGCCTGAGTGACTGATTTCAGCAGATGCTTCAATCATATGAAGATGAGATGGATACATACTACTGGTTGTAGACCAGCTAGAACAACATGATCTATCAAGGAGAATTAATTTCCACTCTCTTCAGCCTGACTGTTTCTCTCACCAAGTGGTGGATGCTACTTCTTGCATTACAGAAAGCTGATAAATTGAGAAAACTGTCCAAATCATGTGCTATGCCATTGTACCATAAATGCCTACATCTCTAAAGCTGTGTTTTCCTCAAGGACAATCATCCATTTCTACAAAATCTCCAACACTCATACAATATCATTTTAGTAGTTACTGGTTCAGAGAAGTGTCATAAAGAAGCATTTAGGATGTATTCATTTCACTTGATCTACAATGTAAATGTAAGATTTGCTAGACACGCATCAGCTGTACCACTCATTAAGCTCCAGAGACTGTAGTGACTTGATTTTCAATTACTGTAGTAAGTGTATATATATTTAATGCACATGAGGGCATCAGTGTGGTGACACTTGCTTCTAAGGTCATGAATTTCAACCATTTAGGCCTCATTCCATTGCCTAGACATAGACACTGTACACTGAAATGTACCAGAGATCCAAGACATCTGCCTGATGATGCAAGCCTGCAGCCCTCTAGAGCAGCAGCCGGAGCCCATCTGGGATACACCAAGGTCTCTTCAATGGCACTAAACCATAGCTGAACAGATGAGTTAAGACCTGAACAACTAAACTAGTTGCTATATTTCCCCGGCAGCCACTGGAGAAAAGTAGGAAATTTTAGGGCATAAGTCATCATCAAATGAGCACCTGAAACAGACTCTAGTGCTCCCAGAAATCTGTCCCATTTCTCTCCTGACTGCAAGGGCAGTCTACCAGATCATCACAGAGGAAGATGCTGAGCAGATCAAAATCTAATTTTAAGCAAGAATAATCCTACTGTGTGTAACTGGATAGGCAAACTGCTACTGCTTTATAACACCTTTACAATTGCAATCACTAATACCTTCATTAAAACCCACAGATTTCAGAAGCCCATGTCCATGACCTGTTGAAACCCAGAGTCTGACTGCCAGCTACTTTCTAAGTAAGAGTTACAGCATCTGACTTGAAATGTTTGTTGTAAAACAACACTGTTTTTGTGAGCAAAACTCAGCTCCTGAATTACATAGCACTGACCTGGAAAGATATTCACCTTCCTGCTGTGGCTATATGTGAAGAACTGGTTGACAAGATAGGTTGTACTGGTTGTGCTGTGAGACAGAGTCATACTTACAGATCTCCTTGGACAACTGGGTAATTCTGTTCTGGCTTACTGTCACCAAGGAATGGTTGGGTTATTGCAATTTGTCTGTCATAGCATCTGCCAAACCGGTTATCTTGAATTGAAAACAGATCAGCAGAACTAATGCGACTCAGTCTAATGAAAAGTCTGTATTGCTCTTCCCTTATACTTTCATCCCACACTGGAGGTGCACAAGAAGCAACTGATATACTGGCAAGCCAAATCAAACAGGTTTCTGCTTCAGTCTTTCCCTTAGAGGGACACAAATGTTGGCCTCTCACATATTGAGCTGCCAGCATGTTACAATAGTTGGAAGAGCTATAAGTTGTCCAGACAGCTTGTCTTTTGTTGTATTTGGTTAAAATTGGCCATCGGGTTATTACAATGTTATTAGATTGGAAGTAGACAGCTAGACTGGCAGACACATGGAGTGGCAGACAGAGCAATTGCATATACCTTCTTTTTTTAGGAAGAGATGTTGAAGAACATCATACTAACACCCTCTTCCCTACTATCCCCTTCTTTCCTTGCTAATTCAGAAAGCTGCAATTTTTCCAATTGGGAGAATTTCAGTGAGGTCCAGAATCACTCATAAGATGGAGGAATTGTTCCAACAATGTCCCAGAAATGTTTCCTAATTTTAAAAAGAAATCAGGAACAAAATCTATCCAGTTCTAACTTGACTGGCTCAAACTGCGTTGTGATGAGTTGCTCAGCAAAGGAGCATGTCCATGAACCTCAGCCTTTTCTTACTCCTGCAAGCAGGATCTGCATAAAGGGAGTCATCTCCACATGTCACAAAGGTAATGAGCAACCAGGAGTCAGCACCAAAGCCAAGCAGACCTTGGGCTCTTGTTTATCTCCAACCAAATAAACTAGCATGGACATAAACACCTCCAGAGTTTATTTGGTGTGAGTGAGGGAAATCAAGGTAAAGTCCTTGGGCAGCAGCTTAGGTCAGGTGTGTGGTGAAGAGGTACTTGAAAAACTTGGCAACATATTTGGGAATTTACCTGGAAACTTGTGCAATCACTAACCCTTCACCTTCATATTTCCTTGGTCTGGGGAGATACTCATTTCATTGCATCTATGTAAACAGTCAACTACTCAAATCCCACCATTTCTTTTGGGGGGGATGGTTGCTGTATCTATCTACTGTAAATGTGATTTTTTAATAATACAGACAATTTTCTGTATTTTAAAACTTGGTTTTATTCAACTGGGGCAAACTAAGAAATCTCATCTTTTCTTCCTTACTGGGTACCATGAAATTTATCCATGGTTTACCTAGGACCCCCAGACTTGAGAGGTGGAATTTCAATTCCTGAGTTGCAGCAGTTCAAGAGCTAAGCTTATCTTTCAGCAGGGATTACCTGTCATTTCTACTATACTGTTCCTGACATGTGTTTCATAATGTTACAGATTAACTGTTTAAAGGGGGGAAAGCATGAAGAATAATGAAGAACAGCTATATAAGTCTCCTTTCTTCTCACCAGAATAAATCTATCTTGAATTTAGGAGGTGTGTAGATTAAAAGACTGCCTTGACAAGCTATCAACAACCTTACCACATCATATACCAAGACTGAACTTTAAATCTACCATTTTGGCTACCTTTGAAACTCACAGAGAAGCCCAGTCCTAACAAAATCTCCTAGTGGTTCACATCTGGGTTTTGTAATTGTCATCTGAAAACAGCTAGTGTTAGGAGTGGTAAGTGATTGGCCACCTCACTGGAATCCTATTACTCTAGTGCAGCTTTTTTCAGTAATTCAATAATATTGTATTTCTCCCAATATGAATCAAGACTGAAAAAAAGTTTCATGTTCAGCTCTTCAACTGTGTTTTCATAGTGAATTTGTTTTGGTTTTAAATATGTTCCTCTGCTCTTGCTTTTCCTCTCCTTCCCCATTTTATTTACTATACCCTAAGCACGGCTCTGATTTCTTCTCATCCTGCCATGATTACAGACAAAGTCCTCTGCCAGGGTATCAAAAATTGGTGGACAATTCCCCCAGGCTTATAAACTCACTGCTGTTTGCCTGTTGTCTTGAGGGAGATGAAAAGCAAACCCATGGGCTGCCAAGAATCACACCCAGGCAGAGATGCAGTACTGCGAGAGCTGGTCCCTGCTCAGCATACAGGAGACAGACATGACCCTGGGATGAGTTCATGGGGTCACACGCAGGCCCTGATGGAGACCCCTATCCCTTTGTGCCCTCATGGGGAACAGAGAAGGGATTAAACTGTAGGGCTGCATTACATTTGCATCAAGCTGAATGAACAGACCCCAGCCACAAATCACTCAGTATTTTAACAGGCCTTGGGAGGGTTTTCTTCCTCATTTTAACCCCTTATGGGAACTCAGAACCTGCAGAAGACAGCTGGTGGGCACTCCTTCAACCCGGGGAATTCCCCGACCCAGGGAATTACAGACCAGTCAGTCTCACCTCTGTGCCTGGCAAAATCTTGGAGCAGATTCTCCTGAAAGGCATGCTAAGGCACATGAAAATCAACAAGGTGCTTGGTGACAGCCAGCATGGCTTCACTACGGGGAAATCCTGCCTGACCAATTTGGTGGCCTTCTATGATGGGGCTACAGAACTGATGGACAGGGGTAGAGCAGTTGATGTCATCTACCTGCACTTGTGTAAAGCATTTGGCACTGTCCCACATGACATCCTTGTCTCTAAATTGGAGAGACATCAGTTTGATGGATGGACCACTCAATGGATAAAGAACTGGATGGATGGTCGCACACAAAGAGTTGTGGTCAATGTCCAGCTGCAGACCAGTAATGAGTGGTGTCCCTCAGGGACCGGTGTTGGGACCGGTCTTGTTTAACATCTTTGTCGCTGACATGGACAGTGGGATTGAGTGCGCCCTCAGCAAGTTTGCCGATGACACCAAGCTGTGTGGTTCGGTTGATACGCTGGAGGGAAGGAATGCCATCCAGAGGGACCTTGACACACTTGTAAGGTGGGCTGATGCCAACCTCATGAAGTTTAACCGTGCCAAGTGCAAGTCCTACACCTGGGTCGGGGCAATCGCAGGCACAGCTACAGGTTGGGCAGAGAAGAGATTCAGAGAAGCCCTATGGAGAAGGACTTGGGGGTGCTGGTCGATGAGAAAATGAACATGAGCCGGCAGTGTGCACGCGCAGCCCAGAAAGCCAACCGTATCCTGGGCTGCATCAAAAGGAGCGTGATCAGCAGGTTGAAGGAGGTGATCCTGCCCCTCTACTCTGCTCTTGTGAGACCTCACCTGGAGTATTGTGTGCAGTTCTGGTGTCCTCAACATAAAAAGGACATGGAACTGTTGAAACAAGTCCAGAGAAGGGCCATGAGGATGATCAGGGGACTGGAGCACCTCCCCTATGAAAATAGGCTGAGAAAGTTGGGGCTGTTCAGCCTGGAGAAGGCTGCATGGAGACCTCATAGCATCCTTCCAGTATCTGAAGGGGGCCTATAGGGATGCTGGGGAGGGACTCTTCATTAGGGACTGCAGTGACAGGACAAGGGGTAACAGGTTAAAACCTAAACAGGGAAGTTTAGATTGGATATAAGGAGGAAATTCTTTCCTGTTAGGGTGGTGAGGCACTGGAATAGGTTGCCCAGGGAAGTTGTGAATGCTCCATCCCTGGCGGTGTTCAAGACCAGGTTGGATGAGGCCTTGGGTGATATGGTTTAGTGTGAGGTGTCCCTG